ACAAACTTTCTCATTTTCATCCTCTAGCTAAAAAAAAATTATATTTCTATTCTTGAACCCTTTATTAGAATATTTTCCTTTCATTAATAATATCTATCCTGTTATCAATCTGTGTTCATACTATTAGCCACATCCTCCTCTTTATTTTCCTTTGCTATTCATATCTTCTTCATTGATGTTATATCCTCATCTTATCTCTTCATATTTTTCTCTATAGTGCCACACTCATCTTGTCCTTTCTACAATCATCTCTGTTTTCTTTTACTCCTGTGCCTAAATTCCATCTCATAGACTTACATAAATTTTTTGCTCATTAACTTCCTTTAAAGGCACTAAATACACCATTGCTTTATATTGTATTTTCCATCTTAATTCTTAAATTATTGAATGCAAATCACAAGAGAAGTGCAGCAATAATTTTCATCTTTCCAAGGATAATGTAAAAATCCCTCCTCTTTCATTCCTTAATGTCATGCATAAATTTGCTTTATACAAGGTTTAATTTAACAAGGTTTGTTTTAACATTTATACAGACATGAGATCTTTCCAGCAGTACACAAATATGCCATAGGGTGCAGTAGCACTATAGTAGAGCTCAGCTACACGTCTAATGTTAAAGTGCCAAATTTGACCATTAATATCTCAAAGACCAACAGATCGATTGGGATAAAATTTAAAATATTTAGTATCCGAGATGAGGACTATGGAAGTTTTGTTGGATTGTTCTGGACTTATACTATTTAGCATTTTTTTTCCACTAGATTTACTATGACAGCAATGTTTGCTCAGTCACAGTCTACCAGAAAATCTAGGAGTCTGCATATGCTTAATAGCTCTTTCAAGAGCTGACCACCTCTTTTGTGGTCCTTTTGAATGCTTTATTTTAAAATGTTGAATATTTATAAAACCATTTTTTAAATATAAACATTTCATTGGTTTCATTGGTTCATTCCTCTACCACATGACGTGATGTTTTGCAATTACTTTTAATCAATTAATTAATACAAGCCTAATGATTTAAAAATAGAGTATTTATATAATAATGTCCCATTTTACTTTTGTAGTATGTTTTGTAGTTAACACTTACTTTTAGATCAAATTACAGAGTTTTGTACATAATCATAAACTTAATTATAGCCAAAAAATCTGGCAGTTAATATTTGGCAAGTAATAAAATTCATTATTTCACATTTTATTTAATACTAAATACTGTTTATAATATGAAATTATTTATTTATTTATGAATTTACTGATAAAAAATGTTTCTCCAAGAATCAATTTTTATAATAAGATCTGAAGATGTCATCAATATCAATTATCTTTTTTAAATAAAAATATTCTTTTAACTTATCTTTATAATTGTTGAAAACAATACCATAAAATTATTTTACCTTATTTCTTCATTCAATTTCTGTTTTATTGGCACAGAGAAAGTGAAACTGAAAAAAATGAAGTTTTAAACAAATGAATTATTTAGTTATTTTAATAAAAATAAAATTCTACATTTCATTTAAATTGAAATAAAATTTAATTAAATATTACATTGAATTAATTTTTTCTTATTAAGTCAAAGATTCCAATAGATGAATGCAATTTATTAATATAAAATTAATGAATTTCATTTGATGATATCATCATTAAATGAAATAATTAATGTAATTAAAGATGATTAATCAGTTTGATTATCACATAATGGAGCTTATGTATACACAATGTTCACTTAATCCAAGGGAAAAGAGATTTTTCCAGCAAGATTGCATGAGTGTATGCATGCTATTTATGCTAAAATAACTGAAGGGAATCAATGTTAGACAATTGGCATAATATACAAATAATCTTACTGTAAAGGATAAATCCAATATTGCAGAAATTGATACCAAAACAGTGAGCTTTATTTTTGTAGATATGTTTGTATTGCTGCTGAAGGTGGTTGTTGCAAAGATGTTGATATTCAAGCATGGTGTCATGGATGGCATAAGCATTCCTGTGCCACTGGATAATTCCAGTATGCATCAGTCTCAGTCACAACCGATTCATCTATGAACAGTTTAACAAGCTTTTACTGGAATGTCTGGCAACCTAACAAGATGGCGGAACAAAACAGCACTATATTGGCATTTGCAGACTTATTTCATCAAAATAACTTTGGAATACAGATGAATAGTAAAAATGATGATGAAATCTTTTCATTAGCTGCTACTATTGTTATTATGAAGCCTAAAAGAATATGTTTCTATATGAAAATGATAATGTTTCATACTCATTTTCAAGCGTAGTCTTCTACTTACTACTAGCAACACAGCCTATGTTTCAATTACACATATTAAAAAAATTTTAAATCATTGTCAAATAATCATATATATCATTTAATTCTATATATTGTAATTAAATTACATGACAACCATCTTATTCAATTTTTATGATTATTTTATAAAGTCACTAAATATAACCATGGAGGCAGTCATACTGCTTCATTAGAGTTCACCATATCCATAACCGAATGAGTGTGATGCACATTGGCTGCTGCACTGGTGAACTCATCTGGAACACATTTTTGTACATTGCGGTTCACCGATGTGCTGTTTGATGCATACTGGAATGTACCCGCTGTTTCACTCTCTTGTATGCATCTTTTCAGCTTTCTATCATCATGCAGCACTGCTGGGTATGCATCTTCACTGATGCTTTTAAGTGACCAGAGGAAAAATCCAGTGTCACCAGAAATCTGAAAAATATGGTATCCATGGAAACAGGGCTGTATTGTCCTATCTAACAGTTGCCAAATTTCTCTGCAAGCCACTGATACATGTCAGTCCAGGAATGATTTGACATGCCATCATGCTGCTATCAAGCCTGTTGATAAATGTGTCAATGGCAGGTCATTGAGCCATTAGTCCACTATGTTTAGGATATTCAGATATTGGTCACTATTCTGTATATCATCAATGAATATAGGATCAAAAACTTCTCACACCAGATGTTTATGGTAAAATACATTTGGTGTAGTGTATGTTGTGAGCATCATCAAGCAGGCTCTGCCCAGTGGTGTGTATCATGAGTTATACATTCCATTCAAAGAAAACAATGCCTCATCAATCCTTAAAATGTGCTGAAGGTGTTGTGATTCACTATGCTGTACCACTCAAATTGCCATGCAGCATCCTCTGCACAGCAATTTGAGTGATACAACAGATAGCAGTGGAGTGGGTGAATTTTGTGGTGGACATATCTGGTGTATTTGTGTCTGCTGCAGTCCACATTTAACCTAATGTAACCTAGAAAGATCTCTTTCTTATCCTGGATAGATGTTTAAGTGGATACCTGGTATATCTTTTTCCCTTATGAACATTAAGAGAGCTTATATTGATATCCATTGTGGATTTGGCCATGCTTGCTTTGAGATTAGACAACACATCTAAAT